GTAGTTGTGATTCAAAGTGGCTGTGACGCTTGTACTGAAAAAGATTTTGCAGAAAACAATAGGAATAGGTGATATGTTAACGATGATGTAAAACAAACATAAGTATCGACGCTCGCAGCTTGCGACGCACTACATTTGGCGGTCGCGGCTTGAAGCCTCGGCGACCGAAGCTGTCCCAGTCCAAAATGAAGAAAGGCGCGCCAGGGACTACCCGTCACCTGAGTACCAACGTGTCGCGGATCCTGCTGGTGGCCATGTCCTCGTCGGCGGGCTGCTCGTTTGACCTGGACCCGTGACAGTTCGATCATTGCAAACCCACTGGGCGCGGCGCGTGGCGAGTGCGGCCCCACCTGCTGCCCACCCGAGACCGGCACCAACCTCGTTAGTTCCAGTCCGCCGAACCGCCGCACCCGACAACGGCGAGGAAGGGAGAAAGTGATGACGTTCGGCAAAGCCGTCTCTGCGTGCCTGCCAAAGTGTTTGGACATGTATGCACACAAATACGAGATGCGCTTCTGCGTGGCCCTTGGTCGAACGACTGCAGTGGATCGCGACCATAAATACCGCGCGCCATCAGCAAAGCTCTCCGATTTGGACTCAGACGCGACAATGACGCACCATATCTTTCTCCAGAATTGCGGGCCGGTGTTTCAAGAACAAAATAAAGACGAAAGCATCATTTCCGGAGGATGATAAAACGTCGCAGCATTCTAAACATTGAAGTCCACCCATTAGTTCGAGAAGCACGTCTCATCTCAACCTCGGGGAGCTGTCGGTGAACCTTCTGGTCTCAATCCCGTGGAGCTGTGGGCACACCCAGTCTCAACCTCGAGGAGCTGTCGGTACACCTTCTGGTCCCAACGTCGAGAAGCTCTCAGTACACCTTCTGGTCTCAACCTCGAGGAGCTATTGGTACAACTATTTTTTCGCGAACGTACACGATGTGAGCAAACTTTGTTCTGCAAGCGATGTGGTAAAAAATAAACGAGCATAACTACATGGTATAAAATACCCCGTAGGAGCATACCACATGGGTATTTCACCACTCGTAGAGCCGTTTTGCTCTGGCTGGGGGGCAGAAGACCTATTTCACATATGCTCGAACGTTTTGGTAGCTCGTCTGAGGTGTGTTATTTTCACGTCTCGTGGAACAATGATTCAAAGTAGGGGAGCTGATGATGCCAACGGCTGGCGATAGCCAGCCATTAGAGTGTATGTGCATCAATGACGACAGCTTTGCTAAGCGCAGATGCAAATCACCGCATGTGCAATTTGTAAATTGCCGCTAAACCCGTTGCAAATCGCCGCAAGCTCCGCCCCACCAGCATTGTATGAGACACTCTTTGGGATTCGATCGAATAAGATGGAGCTAGCTACCAGCAGCGCTGGCAGCCCTATACAGGTACAATCGCATGTACACCGTCACATTCTTAGCGCGAGTTCATGATTTTTTTCCCGCGCCGCAGCATTCTGGCCATCACGTTAGGATGGCGCTGGCAGCATCTAGCAATGCGCACTGAAGGGGTGCTTTGAGCAAAACTGGTCGTGTCGGACGGCGAGCAATCTACGTTGCCGGCCGAGAATGATGTCATAATGGGAAAGTGCGCACAGGGTTGCACCCGCCTCGAAAGGAAAAAGGTATTTGAAGTTTGTCGCCGCAGCCCTGCAAATCACCGCTTCGGCCGCCACGTCAGCATTGAGTGAAGCAATGTGGTGGTGGGGCCGAACAAAATAGGCTCCCTAAGGGGACAAGTGTGTTATACTGGCAGCTTATATCCCACAACCAGCGCTATGGAACGCGCACAGTTGCACTTTTCGTGGGTAACTGAAACTATTCTCCCCGTCTAACGTTTAGTGACAGGCCGTCCGCTGTTTGCAATACCCCTTAACTGGTTGATGTGAACAAAAAAGTCATGCCAGCCGATGGCTGTGCAAAATTTGCAGCATTTCTTTGTTAACCAAGGTGGCCGTCTTCTAGCAGTCACGCCACGGTTAGGCAAGCAGCAATTAGCAATGGACGGTCAACGGATGACTTGAACAAAAAAGGCATTGTCGGGAGATCAGCGATTTTCATTGCCCGACGAGAGTGTTTCCACATTCAGATCGTACACACATGGTTGTACCCTAAGAGCACGACTTGAAGTAATTTAAATTCGACGCCATAACTTTGTAGATCGCCGGTGGGGCTGGCCCGTGATCATTGAGTGAGGCACTGTCGGGGGTCGGACGAATAAGATAAAAACCGGAATCAAACAAATATGTTATGCTAACGGCTGATTGTCCTATGCAAAGGTCATCGGATGTGCACCGTCGCACTCTTCACACGCAATTATAGTATTTTTCTGGTCGCTGTGGTCTGACCATCACTCTAGGGCCAGGCTGACATCAGTTGGCAATGCGCAGTCAAGAGATGCTTTGAAAAAGTCATGGCGGACGACAAGCGACTTCCGCTGCCGGCCTAGAGTGTCCCCACATGCTCCCACACAGTGCACGAGGTCGCACCTGATGCGCACGACTAAAACAGTTTGAATTGGACAGCTGAACATTGCAACGCGCCGTGCGATTGGCGCATCAACCTTAACACGCGCTAGGGTGGGGGGCAAATTGATCCTCCCGAAGGTTTTTTCCGGAATGGTTTCCTGACGGCGCGGCGTGGCTACGCCCAATTTTCCATAGCTGTAGACAATTGAATAGCGGATCGTTTGGCACCAACAATTCAGATGTAACTTGCAAGGGCGCTGACCTGTAACAGGTCAAAGTCAGGCCATGGTTTTAGCGAAGGCAATTTCTGGGGAATCCTTTAATCTGATTCAACAACGGAGTGTTAGACGAAGCCGTACGTCTCTGAGATACTTCCTTAGCCAACAAAACAGTTGAATGAGTAAATAGCATTGGCCTATGGTCAGGTATGAAGATCACACCATGGTCAAAACCAACCTGTTGTTACTCTGGGGCTTGCCATATGGGATAATTTCTGGTGCTCGTTTCGACTTTATTGATAGCGTGAACCGCATTATACATCTTCCATGGACTTGTTAGAGGTCCAAGTAGGTAAATGACCTAAAATGACCCAGGTAAACATTTTGTTTTTAGGAACATACTGCCTAGCGTAATCTTTGTCGCTTAGTGAAATGCAAAACTCAGGGCAGTCCTGTATGATTTTGGTCACTTTGACCTTCACAAGGTCAGACAAGGTCACTGACCTTGAATGAGCATGTGACTTTTTGCTTAGAAATGGTTATACGGGTTCTGGGGGCACTTTGGAGACCAACCTGGAACTTGACCTTGTTTGACCTTTTTTGACCCAAAGGTCGCTTGACCTGGGAACCTGAAACTTTAACCCAAGTGTGTTCACGTATAGGTCAACACACCCTGTGAGTTTGGTGTTTCTAGCTTTCATGGTTCCCGAGATCTCAGTAGGAGTCAAATTGACCCCACCCACCCGGGCGAAGAGTATCTAGCCGGCCACCCGGGCGCGTGTTATGTGCGAAGCTGTTCGGGCGTCGACGGAATGCAGCGGATGACCCTGTACCAGCGTCATTAAATACATTGCCGGCCGATAGTGCTGGCAAGGCACTGGTGCCGGCAAACTTTGAGCGAGACGCGCTGGTACAGGGCTACCAGCTGCCATTACAACAAACACGTCGGATTCTGGCCTCCATTTTATTTGGTCGACATTATTCGGTCGGTATTCGGCCGCGTCTCACTCAATGATGGTAGCACCTAATTTCAAATAGTTCTAGTCGTGCACTGCGGGTGCGATCATGCGCATACCGTGCCATTGTTGCACATTATTCGGCCGGCAGTGTTAATCGCTCATCTGCCGACATAGCCCTCTCGATTCAAGTAATTCCCTTTCAATTTTTGTGTTATTATCTGATTGGTTTTGATTAAATTTTTAATAACAAATGGGCAAGCTAGGCTTTATTAGCTGGTGATGGAACCTGGTGTGCACGACTCTTTTTCAAAACGTTCAGAACGACATAAGTGTATTCCAGGGTCAGCAGGAGACGGTGTATAATCGGATGGAGTGACCAATGGCCGGGGAAGGGAAGCATGAACAGTGCCAGGTGTCGTTAGTGTGGCGGTCGGTCGGAGTGTGAGTGCTCCGAATGTCACCTGCTTGTGCATCCGTGCTTGTAGGCTCTCCACTAAACTGCAATTTGTGAAAAGTAACTGATAGAATTCATTCCATAAAGTCGCCACAGATGCGAATATGATCCTCAACAGGGCATTTATTCCTTAAAAAAGTGTGAAGTGGCATGCGTGTCTAGATGGCCTCAGTATCATATTATTTCAATGCTTTGCTTTCTGCATTTGGTCACACAAATACACCTGGTCTCACCGGATTGTTGGTTTGACTTCAGACAAGAGTCAGGGCGGAGAATGTGGTGACTATATCTGAACCAAAAGTGTTCGTCACGCACAACAGTGATGAGTAACAATAGGATAACAGTGCAACAATGTACAAATGGTATACGAATGTAACAGTAACAACGCCACAGACCACGAATGACGTGTCTCTTTTTTACACAATGACTCTCTTGTTTACAGAAGCTGGTAGGACCTTGTTTTGATTTATATGACTATGATTATGAAGGAGATAGCGAAAATCCAAAGCTAGAAGTTTCGTCATTTTTTTAGTTAACCAACAATGATGTGATCAGTGGTAATGCAAGGGAAACAGTAGAGTTCACACTTATATGTTCGCTACGTTTCTTTAATTTTTGAGTGAATCTCAATGAATTCAATGTCATATGCCATGTACTACATTGCAATGGCTTAGGCCAACACATTTTTGTTATTTTGGCCTAAGCCATTACCAATCAGCTGTTCCAGTATGTCAGCTTAGGCCAACACATTTTTGTTATTTTGGCCTAAGCCATTACATGACGTCATGAAAATCACACATCAAGCCTAAAAACTGAAACTCTTTTTACCTACCCTTGGTAGGGCCAAGGCCCTCTAAACAAACGGCGATAGACGAATGTGGAGTAGAAATCTGTGGGAAAGGACGGGCGGTAGTGATTGGTTGTGGGTACACTGCCCATTGCGGTGCTGTCGGGGAAGGTTTGCTCGGTTAAGTTGTAAGAGCCATTGCAAGTCTTGTTCAGTGATATTTCGCTTCGAATGAGAACCTGCATATGTTGTCGGTTGACATTTTTATAGAATGTCAGCATGTTCAATCTTGCCAAGAAAGGACATGCCGCCGTTGATGTCAAAAAGTCCATTCAGAAGATTCTCGACACCAAGAAGGACTCGGCGACTCGCCTGAAACACCTTCGCATCATATTGGGTGAGTTGGGCATGAAATGTGTTGGCTTGCTGCCCTGCATTGCCGTGACTAATGAGTGAATGGCATGGGCAGGCATTTTGCTATTTTGTTAACATGAACACAACACATTGAGAAATGTGACATTTTGTACCTTTCAATTTGTTGTTAAGTTCTCAGTGGAAAGATGCTAACTTACACAAACTTTTTAAGAATGCCATATTTATGAAATAGGTAGCTTTGGTAGGCAGGTGTGTACTTACTTTTAGTCTGACCCTTGGTCAGCTTCTGGGGCTGCTCAGGTTTGTGCTTCAGACAGCACTGCATAATTTCAAGCAGAGTACAGTTCTTGCTCAAATATACAAAGATCAATTCCAGAATGGATTCAATGCAAGCAATCCAGGTCACAATGGTTCAGATGAGGTACCTGCATACAATATTAGGCTATATGATATATTGTAGGAGTCGATGTATTTTATTCTGGCGGCCAAACAGAAGAACAAAGCAGAGGACTAATCCTGCACCCTAAAGGTGTACAGCAAGGCCATGCATGTTGTGTGATGCAGGTATAACTGAACTGCTTATATGCAGGCACTTGTATTTTTGTGTTGCTGTTTTGAGATCAGGCTGTTCCAGTATGTCATGACATATGGATGTTCTCTTCAATTGGAAGCTTTTCTATACCTAAATTTATTGGTGCTGCTGCATCCCTTTCTGAAGCACCACCTTTGCTGTATGGCATCATTATAATCCACCTGTTTTTTATGGTGGAAACTGCATGCCCCATGTACTCAAAAGTTATGCTCACCACTTTACTGGCAGGTGGCACTCCAGATATGATCTTATAGATAACAAGTTGCAATGTCAAGCAAGTCGATTCAAAGCCGTTTGGCTGAGTTATGGCCTGGTGAGACCAGAGAATGGCCTCCAGCATATTGAAGTGGGCAATGTTACACATTTGTGTCAGTTTAATTCACACGAATTTAAAATGCAAGTCATATGCCATGCTGTAGCATGTGAATACTGTTCATGTGATATGTGGAGGGCAGATATTGAGAGTCAAGACAGGTCATCAGACCAATTGAATACTGCCTGAAGCAACTCAATTGGCAACAGTATTGCCTTATACATGGGAAGTGCACATGTGCTATTGGAAATCACTGCCTTCAGATTTTCTCTACTTCTGCTTATTTATGGGGCTCATTTTACTTGAATTTGCAGAGCTGTATATGCTGCTTTGTTATGGAAACGGGATTGTCCAGTTTGAGTGCATGTCATGAACAAAACAAGTACTTTTCACCATGGCTTTCCTTGCATCCACTCTTTCAGAGATGTTCTGACCATGAAATGTTCTTCTTCCAGAAAATGTTGACCTTGTGGAAGCAAAATATATTTTTGAGACCCACTACAGCCACATCTACTACCTCTTCTATGATGTCTTTGCTGCAGCTGAGGCCAGCGTCAAGATTAAGCGTAAGTCCCCTGTTACCAATGGCCGGAATTTCTGTAAATGATATTCACTTTCTCTAGAGCTTCTAAGGCAGGGCTTGTTTTACTGTGTTACATGATATGAACAGATAGTGTCATGGCTTACCTATTACAACAGCCCAGCGAAGTTTCATCAAGCATCGTATCAGACTATTCCAAGGGCTGTTCAGTTATCAACAGCATGCTTCACAGTTCACATGGGGCTGGGGCTGGCTGCCAGGTGTGGCAGGTACCTCACAGCCCCCCCCCCCCCCCCCCCTGGCCGTCGCCTCCGGCCGGAGCCGACATCGCAGCTGACTGCACCCCTGTCCGCCTCAGCACACCGGGCGCACCGCGAAGACGTGGAGTCGGTGCTCTACATCCTGGAGCACATCCTGCTGCTGCTGCCTGAGCTGCTGCAGCAGCGCTGGCAGCTGCACAGCGTCAGCCGGGTGATGCGCACCCTGCTGCACCCGGGCAACATTCTGCGGCTGCGGCGCGAGGCCATGAGGTCAGGCCCCCTCCCTCTGCTGTGGCATAGTGATCTGGGTGGCCTCTCCTATCCTGTCGTCACCAGTGATGGTCAGCTGTTGTCATGTGATGGCTGGTGGTAGTCTGCTGTTAGGTTGCTACCTCATGGAGATTTAGGTCATTGATTTTGCATGAAGTGCAATTTTCTCGCACCGAGCAGCATCCGGAATTGCTATTCTCTGATCCGGTATTTGTCACGTATTTATTTAGTAGTGCCACTCACAGTTGGTGCTGGCGGGTGGGGCATGTGGTGATGTGGACTGAGGCACGCCCCAGCAGAGCTGATGACCGGCCTCCGCGTCGCAGGATGTTCCTGATCTGGTTCCAAGAGGTGGGCGAGCAAGCCTCGGATGAACTGCTGTCGATGTTCGCCACCCTGGTGCCGGGCTTCCCTCCGCCTGCGTCTCACGCGGCCCCACAGAGCGCGCCACGAGTGTCACCCGCCCACCCGGACAACAGGCACGGTGAGGAAACGACCCAGCCGGACAACAGGCACGGTAAGGAGGCGGCCCAGCCGGACAACAGGCACGGCAAGGAGACGGTTGACCCGGACAACAGGCACGGTGAGGAGACGGCCTACCCGGACAACAGGCACGGTAAGGAGGCGGCCCAGCCGGACAACAGGCACAATGAGAAGACGGTCCTCACCGTGGTGTGATGTTGGGCCGTGTCACACCTAGCCGTGCCAGACGGCTCGCACGCCGGCTATGACGTGCTGGGACGTCCGCCGGGCCGGACCGGGCGGTCGACCCCGCCTGCGAGATGTGTCGGGACATCGGCCCTGCTGCCCCCTGTCCTCTGCGACCGGCAGCGAGGACAGACCTGAGACGCGCCGCACCTTTGCAGTGGGCCCAGTGGACGTGGCGCCCATCCTGCCGCCGCAGGGCGTCGAGAAGGCCTCTGACGACCTGACCCGGTTCTTCCTGGAGTGCCTCATGGACAACATGGTCACGCAGGTTAGCAGCCGGCTGAGATCAGGTGCCGGATGGTCCATGTTAGTGTTCAACCGGGGCCATCTCGTTCTTAATGAAAATAACTACAGGATGGTCAACCGTGTACAGAAGTGAAGGAGCGAAACTTCTATGTGTAGCAATGTATGCATTGCCACGCAGCTCCTTATGTGCGTCGTACGACATATATACGAAGGCATAACATGGCAGTGTGTACTATTCTATGCATGATTGTACTCAATGCTGACGGTGAGAGTGGTTGATCAGTAACCACAGTAATTATCCTCTGGTCACCAGGACTTGATTGTCCTTTCCCATCGTTTAAATACGCTGCGAGCGTGCTCCTAGCTTCGCGCTTTAGCGTCGCTTTGTGGGGTTGATATTTGGGCATGCGACACCAAGCGGCGTGCTGATGTCGGCTTACAGTCTTACAATGGGGTCGTGACAGCTGCGTTTTTTGCGCCGTGCAGCCCGACAGCCGTGTTTCCTCGTTTGCAGCTCACAAGGATAGAGTGGAAGGACAAGGCGTACCATGTGCGCTGTTTTAACTTTCTGTTCGACAACTTCAAGCAGTTCTATCTTCCGCACATATTTCCCGACTTCAACTGGCACACGAACCTGTACAGGCCAACGCTGAGTAAGTTCGCAAACCGCGATGGCGTGAAGCCGATTAGCGGACTGTATCCACGGATGCGTGATAAACCTTGTCGTAACAGCGCGATGACCACGTTGCGTGTGGTCGGTCCATGTCAGCACCCGGATGTGGTCTCTGACTCACCACATCACGCTTTACGTCGGCTGGTCAGGCGAAAGTTTTGACACCCCGTCCCGTCCTGTCCCGCCCCCCCCCCCCCCCCCCCCTGCGCGGACGGGTCTCGCTCCGTTCATTCCACGTCGTGTAGTCCCTCTCATCCGGCACCGGCACGTGGACGCCCGGGGCCGCGTCGGGACAGTATGGTGACGCCGCGCTCCCGTGCCCCCCGCCGCCACCGTCCTGACTGGCGTGTGTGCTGGTCGCACCGCCGCCGGTGACGCCTCCCCGGCCGGCCGGCAGCGCTGCCCGAGCTGCGCCGCCAGCGCTCGCCGATGGCTAGCTCTGTGGACGGCGCGCCGCGGCCGGCCGACCGGCTCGTCTCCTGCCGCGTCGTCGTCATCCGCTGGGTGGCCAACTTCGTGCACGCGCGCTCCGGCGGCCGCGAGACTGCGCCACCGCCGGCCGGGTCCGCCCACCAGTCCGGGTGAGGCCGCGCCCCCGCGGCGCATGCGCTGGTGACAGTTTTGCAGGTGACGGTTCCGTGGTACTGCCGGCTTTCGGTGCTTCTTTGTATGTTGATGTTCGTCTGTAAGCTGGTGCTACAGCTCTGCTGTTTGTCCATGAGGAGTTTTTGTTTGGCTGAGGCCTGTGGTGATCTTCATGTGTAAAAATGTCCACGATTGCCTTGATGCCTGCTATGCAAGTCAGTAACTGTCGTGTGTGTGTGTCTGTCTCTTGGGTCCGTCCCCATTTCTGCACATTATCATGACCGCCATGACGTCCGCCTTGTGTGTGTGTATGTGGGTGGCCGCGGCCTGTGTGTCCGTCGGGGCCGCGTGCCGCTGCTGCGCTGGTGCGTGACGCCGGGCGCCGGCGCGCCTCTGCCGGCAGCGGCGGCTCAGGCGACGACGGCAGCCAGGGCACGCCGGAGCCGCGGCGCGCCCTGCCGCCGTCGGCCGGCGACAGCGACGCGCCCGCCTCGCTGCACAGCCTCGCCTCCGACTCGAGCGGCGGCGCCGCCTTCGGACCAGTGTGCGTCAGCGCCCGGGACGGGCTCGCCGGCGCCGCGTGCTCCGCGGCGTCACGTGCTGCCCGCCTTTCGTGACATGCGTCTCATTGGAGGCGGCGTTCGGACGACGGATGGAGATGCCATTCAGAGTTGCCGTTTGCTGCCTGTGAGATGCAGCGTGGTGTTGCTGTTGGCTTGCCTGTGGTAATCTGCCGATGATGTCATGTTTATAAATCCAACCGGATCTCTCTTAATAGGAGCCAACTCATCATTCGCATGCCGCACCGGTCTGCTCTGCCCCGCTGTGTGGCGCTGGCCATCGCTGAGGCCGCACCAGGCGGGTCGCTGTGCGTACCGACGCGTGCTGAGCGTGGCGCCGGCGTGCGGGCCGCGCCAGGAGCGGCCGCTGACCGCCGTCCCGCCTGCAGGGAGCCCTGCGGCCGGCACCAGCCGGACCAGGCGGCGCTCGTGCGCACCGTGCTCTTCGCCAGCCGGCAGAACGTCAACTTCGTCCACGAGGTGTTCAGGCAGGCGTTCCTGCTGAGCTGCCACTACTCGGCCGCCATCAAGCGAGTCGTGCTCGTCTACAAGGACTGGATCCAGATCAACGTGCGTGTCGGGGCAGTGGGCGGCGGTGGCCGGCGCAGAGCTATTGACCGAGAGCTGTGGGTGTGCAGGATGATCGGCGGAGGAGTCACGGTATTCCATGGAACATGCCGAAACTCGTTTGCTTTTTGGCGGCTTATCTTGGCTGCCCGCGGCCGTACAGTCTGTTTCGCGGTCGGTGTACGTCGGGTGTGAAGCGCTTTCCGTTGTGGCGGCCGCGTCTTACGGGACATGGAGGGTGGGCTGTCGCCGACTGGTCCACACGACATTCGGCTCGTTCGCCGTCGACGCCGCGGGCCGGCCACTGACCGGCGCGTCCTCGGCGTGTGCTGAGCAGGTGCAGCTGCCGCCGTTCCTGCTGGAGCCCGCCGAGCTGACGCTGGACGGCCGAACGTCGGTACACGCAGAGGTCAGGCCAGGAATGGGAGCCGGCTCAGAGGCTCGGCATCGACCGCTCTGGTGTGGAACGGGGGGCTGTTCCTAGAACAGCCACCCGTTAGGGATGCCTGGGGAAGCTGACATGAAATGCATCACATGGTCCATTCCTTTCGCTGTTGACGAAGTCAAGTCGCAGCATGTCGTCTCTTCCCGCGTTTCGATTTGACAGCGGACATCAACATTGGGAGATTTCTTGAGCTGATTACACCGACGTTTCGTGGAATATCTGGAGCGGTCTGTGGTGGCTCGGTTACGTCAGACAGGAGACGGATGCCACCATCTGTTGTGATCAGACGCTATTGGCTATATTGGCCGACCGCCGCCGGTGGTGATATTGATGGGTCGCGGTTAGCCGGCGCCGCAGACCCAGGCCCTGCACGCTGGCTGTGCATGCCTGCTGACCCAGGCCCTCCCCACTGACCTGGGGCCCTGCCTGCTGACCCAGACCCTCCCCACTGACCCAGGCCCTGCCTTCTGACCCAGGCCCTGCCTGCTGACCCAGACCCTGCCTGCTGACCCAGACCCTCCCCACTGACCCAGTCCCTCCCCACTGACCCTGTCCCTGCCTTCTGACCCAGGCCCTGCCTACTGACCCAGGCCCTGCCTACTGACCCAGGCCCTGCCTACTGACCCAGACCCTGCCTACTGACCCAGACCCTCCCCACTGACCCTGTCCCTGCCTTCTGACCCAGGCCCTGCCTACTGACCCAGGCCCTGCCTACTGACCCAGACCCTGCCTGCTGACCCAGACCCTCCCCACTGACCCAGACCCTGCCTTCTGACCCAGGCCCTGCCTACTGACCCAGGCCCTGCCTACTGACCCAGACCCTGCCTGCTGACCCAGACCCTCCCCACTGACCCAGACCCTCCCCATTGACCCAGACCCTCCCCACTGACCCAGACCCTCCCCACTGACCCAGACCCTCCCTACTGACCCTGTCCCTGCCTTCTGACCCAGGCCCTGCCTACTGACCCAGGCCCTGCCTGCTGACCCAGACCCCCCCCACTGACCCAGACCCTGCCTTCTGACCCAGGCCCTGCCTACTGACCCAGTCCCTGCCTGGTGATGCAGGCCCTCCCCACTGACCCGGGCCCCTCACTGCTGACCCAGACCCTGCCTGCTGACCCAGGCCCTCCCCACTGACCCAGCCCCTGCTCAGTGATCCAGGCCATCCCCACTGACCCAGCCCTGCTCGGTGACCCAGGCCCTCCCACTGACCCAGCCCTGCTCGGTGATCCAGGCCATTCCCGCTGGCCCAGTCCCTGCCCGCTGATCTAGGCCCCGCCCGCTGACCCGGCCCCTGCCTGCAGGACGTGCGGGACTCGGCCCGGCCGCCGGGCCGCGCCGCTGCCGCCGCGGAAGGCTCGGCCGGACTCTCCCAGAGCGTGCGCGCCGGCCTGCAGGTGAGGGAGGCGGCCGCCGCCGAGCACGGCGTGCTGGGGTGCGGTGAGACGGTGGGCCCCGCCGGCCGCCAGCGCGCCAGCCCCACACCGCGCAGCGCCGCGCTCTGCAACCAGCTCGATGTAGTCAGCTGCCAGGCGCAGGGGGACCGACCGCCGCTGTCGCCGTCTGTCAGTGTTTGGCTTCGGCACGGTGCTGGACGGTGAGCGGCTCGCATTGTTTTACAAGGACTAGCCGGCGGCTCGGGAAGTCTAGCGGACCAGTTCCAGGTGACTTAGGGGCTCATCTTGTAAATACTTGTAATTCGAGAACATCGGTTTTTAAAAGCCGTCTATCCTGAACGTTCGTAAGCTGTCAAGGGCATTCGCCGCCATCACAGGCATGTCCAGCAGGGCGTCCAGCTCGTGTGCGGTGTGAGCTGGTCGAGTACACTGACCTCTCCGCCCGGCAGAATACACTACAGCTGTTCATCACCAACTCGGCCAACATCTTCCTGCTGGAGCCGAGCCCCGAGTACCGCGGCCACTACATGGAGGACCAGGTGGAGCTCTGCAAGCGCATCCTCAACATGTACCGCTACCTCGTCATGAACGTCTACATGTCGCAGGCCACCTGGTGAGCGGCGTCCGCCGGCTGCCCTGTCTGCCGCGGAACCGGACGGTGTCGGTGTCTGTGCCGGTGTCAGGTGTTGGTGTTTGGTGCGGACGCGCGCCCACTCATCATTGGTGCCACATCACTGCGAGGACTACTGGCCGGAAATAGTTATTTTCGTGCCAGTTTAATGTTAGCTGACTGAGGTATTGGAAGGACAAGGGCCGCGTCGACAGTCAGCGACCACGTGTGTGTTTGTGCGCTGACACAGTGCCAGGACGACATTTGGAGCCGTCCTGGCCGTCATGCGATAGTAGGTCCATCACGCCGCCGTAATAGTCGCTGAAGCCGCCCAAGCTGGCGCCCAACAGCGCTGCAGTTTGGGCTCCGAAAGGTACACTGGACTACTGGATGGCTCACATTTTCAGACCGATATGTTGCTCTGTGGCCCCTGATTTGTCGCTCTGTGGCCCCTGATATGTTGCTCTTTGGCCCCTGATATGTTGCTCTGTGGCCCCTGATATGTTGTTTTAGGGCCCCTGATATGTCGCTCTGTGGCCCCTGATATGTCGCCCTGTGGCTCCTGATATGTCGCTCGGTGGCCCCTGATATGTCGCCCTATGGCCCCTGATATGTCGCGCCATGGCCCCTGATATGTCGCACGGTGGCCTCTGATATGTCGTTCTGTGGCCCCTGATATGTCGCACGGTGGCCTCTGATATGTCGCTCTGTGGCCCCTGATGCCGCTCGATGGCCTCTGATATGTCGCTCTGTGGCCCCTGATGCCGCTCGATGGCCCCTGATATGTCGCTCTGGGGTCCCTGCTATATTCTTCTGCGGCGGCGACCAGACACTGCCGGGCCCTGATGCCCTTCATGGATGGCTTTATTCTGTTGTACCTGCTATGACTCGGTCCACCTGTGCCCCGGCACTGACGGCCGGCCGGTGGCTCTGTTCCAGGGAGCAGCTGTTGCTGGTCCTTCTGCAGGTCACCACTCAGACTCTGTCCGGCGAGCCGGCCGTGAAGGCGCGCGAGCAGACGCTCGGCGCCATCCTGGCCCGGCCGCTGTTCCAGGTGAGGGGCCAGCCCGCCCGCGGCCCGCGCCGCCGCTGCCGGCCGGCTCGCTGGCAGCTGCCGCTGCTCCGGCGACTCACGCGGCGGCGCGACGAGGGATGACGCCGACGTTAGCTTTTCGGCGTTCGTCGTGAAGTGTAGCACGTGCCGTCCAGCTGTTGGCTGAGAATATGAGGTTGCGCTCGCGCTGTATATTGGGCGCGGTCTGACCAGCTTCAGCCCACGGTCGGTGGGTGTGCGGAGGGGGGGGGGGGGTGTCGTGACCTGCGGCCGGGTGTCGTCCGGCCGGGTCCGCCCGAGGACGGCGTTCCCGGCCGGGCGGTGACCCCAGATCAGTGGGCTGAGCCTCGGGGCCGCGGTACAGCGCTACGCGGCCCCGGCCGAGACGGTCCCACACTGGTGCCGCTGCTCCTGTCCTCGCACGGGCCCGCGTACCAGGCTGACTGCGATGTTCCTGAGTGTAGACGGATCCTGGCGCCCGCGACGGGACTCGGACCGTGACAGCTGTGGCCTGAAGTGAACCTGGGATGACAGTCCTGGGTACCGCCGACCCGACTCGGAGAACTTTGTCCCTGGTCTGTCACCGCCAGGCCTCCCGTGACAGGGGAGAGTGGCACCCCTGACTGACAGTGGAGGGGTGTGATGTGGGGTGCACTGCACCTGGACCCGTTGCCGGTCCGTCCGAGCGCTGTGAGCGCAGTTCGGACGCACTACCGGCGTGGCCCGGGCCGACTCTGACGGCGGCCGTGGCTCCTCGCCTCCGCCGCAGACCCTGATAGTGACCTGGGTGAAGGCGAACCTGAACGTGGCCGTCAGCGTGGAGCTGTGGGACCAGTTCCTGGGCACGCTCTCCTCGCTCACCGCCTGGGAGGAGCTCATCAAGGAGTGGGCCGTACGTACACCGGGGCCGAGCTGTGTGCCGGGTGGCGCAGCCGGCGCGCGGCAGCGTCTGCTCTGGGCCGGCCGAGAGTCAGGCGACAGCTGCCGGTGTGGACAGAGGCAAAGATGGCGGCAGTGCTCTCGTGCCCTCTGCTGGATTCGTATTGTTTCGTCCCTCAAAGGTTGTGTCACTGGTACGTGAGCGGAGTTTCGAGGTCTCGAGCGTTTGCAAGCATTGATTTTGACCTACGGCAGCGGGAGAGAATAACCCGGAGCGTTTAAGCGGATGGAGTGATCCACGGTGAGTTAAACTCGAGCCAGATTGGATCTACACGGCCTTTGTGATCTCCCCTTTGACGTGGCCTGACTACCTTGCCGCCGCCGTGTGCGGATGGGCACGGGCGCCGGGTTCAGCGTCGCTCCGCCCGCCAGCTGCCGCCGCTGACCGACGGCTGCCGTCTGCGTGTTTCAGAAAACGCTGGAGACTCTGACGCGCGTGGTGGCGCGCCAGGTGTACGAGCTGGACCTCAACAACCTGCCGCTGGACCGGCTCACTGAGCAGAAGAGCAAGCGCCGACGCGGCCGCACTGACGGCCACCAGGTGGGCCCGCCCGCTCCGGGCTGAGGACCGCCGGTGCCGCCCGGCCGCGTCAGCTGCGGTGACTGCCGGCGCCGCACCACGGAATAAGGCGGTGATCAGCTTTGTTGTCGGGGCGTACCGTACTGTACTTCTTTAGTTTCGACCGAGACGACTGAAAATGAAAGATATTTACGTTAGCTTTACGTAAAAAAGCACATATAAGGTGCATTAAAGCGACATAAAGGTGTCTTAAATCATAAAAGGACGTAACTGAACGTTCAGATGATAGAATACCTCAAAACCAAACAGTGCTTCCAAAAAACAAATTGTGCGCAATGCCGGCCTTCACCGCGTGTCGCGTTGTAACCGGACGGCGCGTGCCGTGTCGCGACCCGTCACCGCGTGCCGTGTCGTGACCCGTCGCCACGTGCCGTGTCATGACCCGTCACCACGTGCCGCCAGTCGGCGGGCGCCTGGAGTCGACCGACGCCGCCGGCCGAGAGCAGGGACCACGGTGACGGGCCGGCGCGGCGCGCCTCGCTCCAGCCGCCGGACGACGCCCACTCGCAGCACGGTCAGTGGAGCGCCGCCGCCCCGGCCGCCGGCTGCCGCGGGCGCTCCTGATGGCGCGGGCCGCCGCGGGGAGGCGCCGTGCGGTCGCATTTGGGCGTCTTGAGTGGCGTCTGCAAGGTCTGTTGACCGGCATGAGGTGGCAAACTTCGGATGTGCGTGCAGAGGCTATCTAAGATGCTGAGAAGTGGCCGTAGGTGTCGGCGCGGCCCTAAACCTCAATTAACATCATATCATGGTAGTTTTGTTTTCGCGCTCCATGACTCCCCTGGGTGGCTCATGTTAGCACAATGGTACGCCTTCAGCGCGGCGTTGTCCCCTCAGGAACAAGGGCTTGCCTGCCTGATCTTGCAGCATGATGTGTCACGTGCGCTTCCCATGTTTTCACACCCGTCATGCGAAAATGACTGTCGTCGTTTGGCTGACGCCTTGGCCGGCGCGCGCGCGTGCAGGCTCGGCCAGCAGCCAGCCGGGCGTGTCGCCGCACCCGCGGAAGCGATACACCAGCGGGCTGGGCGCGCCGGCCGGCCTGGCGCCGGCCCGGCTGGTGCGCAGCCTCTCCGAGGGCAGCCTGGCGCCCAGCCTGTTGGCCGTCGAGCTGGTGGCGCCGACGGCCGGCCGCGCCTTCCCGCTGGCCGAGCCGGGCCCCAGGAAGGTCTGGCGCTCGGTCGACTCGCTGCGCTGCAGAGGTGAGCCGGAGCAGCGCGCCGCCGCCCGCTCGCGCCGCGATCGGGAGCGGTCGGATCAGTCGATCGCCGCGATCAGGATCTGCCGGATCGGTCGATGTCCGCGACCGTGATCGGCCGGATTGGTCGGCCTCCGCGATCCGTCGATCGTGCCGATCGGATCTGGCGGAGCTGTCGATCTCCATGATCTGCATCGGCGCTCCGTACTATTGATGGGGTCCCTGTGTGGTGATGTTCCCAGGCCGGTGTGTGGGATGCCGGCGGGCTGTGCTTCTGTGGTCGATGTCCACTTCCCGTGCTGTGGGTTAAATGCAATCCTGTGTGGAAAGCCGTCTGTTTGCATCGGCTCGGACGCAGCTTTGAACAGTTTGGAGGCCATGTCCCATTGCCATCCCACGCCCGAATCCGTCCCATTCACTGGTACGTTAGCTCAGCTGTGAATACCGTGCACCGACAGCCCACGTCACGTAGCTAACCGCTCATCGCTGTCCCGTCGGCTCGGGACTCATCAGGCAATGCTCGGCCCACTCCGCAATTCTCTGTCGCGTCACGTGCTGCGGGCGCTGGCTGCCCTGTCGGCGAGGCCTTGTCGTGCCGCGGGCGCCGGCTGCCCTGTCAGCGAGGCCTTGTGTCGCGTGCCGCCGCGCACCGCCGGTGGCTCGGAGCGCTGCCCGGCGTCGGAGGATGACGCCGGGCCCCGGTCCGTCGGCAGTGTCGCTGCACTCGCAGGCCTCGGAGCCGGAGCTGCACTCGCGCTCGCCGTCGCCGTCCAGCGGCCTGGAGACCAACTCCATCAAGGAGTCGCCCATGGCGCTGGACTTCGCCGCCGACGGCAACAGCATCGGTCAGTGGGCAGCGCCGGCGGCTGGGCCTGGGGCCGACCGATACGGGCATGAGGGTGACAGTGACGGAGGCGTCACTCAAGATCGGTCGTGGGTCATTCTGAGCTGTGAGAAACCGATGCAAGGAACGGAGGCCTTTAGTTGCTCCCTCCCGTTCTCTTCAGCATGTTTTGAGCGGATATAAACGCCTGCAGTGTGGCAAAGGTCTGACTGGATGTGATCTCCGGCCCTGTCAGTGACCCCTGACGTGCCGAGCTGTCGCCTGATGTGCCGACAGACGCCACGGACAGCGGCGCCTCCGATCACCTGTCTGTCATGTCTGGACTCCTCCGACCCGCCCCCTGTGCCTACAGACACCACCGACAGCGGCGCCTCCGAGCACCGGTCCGTCATGTCTGGACTCCTCCGACCCGCCCCCTGTGCCTACAGACACCACCGACAGCGGCGCCTCCGAGCACCGGTCCGTCATGTCTGGGCTCCTCCGACCCGCCCCCTGTGCCGACAGACACCACCGACAGCGGCGCCTCCGAGCACCGGTCCGTCATGTCTGGGCTCCTCTGACCCGCCCCCTGTGCCGACAGACACCACCGACAGCGGCGCCTCCGAGCACCGATCCGTCATGTCTGGCGGCACCCTGCGCGGCTGGATGCCGGACGTGGCCGTGGTGCTCTGGCGTCGCATGCTCGGCGCTCTCGGCGACGTGAACCGGATTCAGAGCCCGGCCGTGCACGCGCAGGTGTTCGACTACCTGATCGAGCTGAGCGAGACGCTGGTGAAGGTGAGGGTTGGCCGGCGTCGTACCGCGCTGGTGCAGGTGTCTCGTGCCACCTCTAGCCATATGACATGCTTTTTTGGGGGCTGGACGTTGTCCATATTTATGCGTTCAGTGACATGATAGTGGTTCAGTTCGCACGTGCTGTGTATTTTCTGTTCGTTCGATTGTCGCGGCTTTTGCTTCTGTAACCGTGAGTTATGTACAAGTGGGTACTCGCACAACATTGCGGAAAATGATGGTCTCGGTAGTACTTGTACTTCGTTTATATATTGTGCCAGCACTGCTCTGACGTTACGTTGGACGTGACGGTTGACATCGGTTAGGAAGCAATACCATCCGCTGTCGCATGTCCCGTCTCGCGTCTTTTGTCTGCCCGGCCATGAGCCACCCGCTGTCGGCGGCGCGTATCACAGCATACTGCCCCCCTTTTCTGTCCCCTACCTGGCTTCAGCGCGCGACCCGGTGTACCCCCTTCCCCCTCCCCCCCCCCCCTCTCCGCCGCCGACGGCTCCGCACTGGGCGCCGCCAGATCGAGGACAACCTGGGCGTGTCGGCCGACAACCAGTCCACGTGGTGGCCGGCCGAGCTGGTGCCGCCGCTGCCGCTGCTGGTGCCCTGGTGCCTGGAGGCGCTGCGACTGCCGGACTCGCACCAGGCGGGCCGGCTGCGCGCGCTGCGCCTGCTCTGCCTGCTGCTGGTGCGGCGGCAGCCGGCGCCGCTGCCGGCCGCCGCCGCCGCCCAGCTGCTGCGCGCCCTGCACGTGGGCCTCAGCTCGTCGCGGCCGGACGTGGTGCACACGCTGCTGCGACAGTGCGGCGCTGGCTTCCTGGCGCTGGAGCTGCCGGCCGCCTCGCTGCTCGTGCTCGACTTGATCCACGCGTGCACGGCCGTTACCGCCAGCCAGGAGCTGCACGGCGTGAGTGGCCGTGCTGGGGGCGGGGCGGGGTGACCCGCTGTGGCAGTTGGCCCGATGAGGGGGAGGTGTCAGGAGGAGCGAGTGGAAGAAAGATGGAGTGTGCTTGGAGAGCAGAGGAATCCGGTGGGGGGGGGGGGGGAAGGGGGTAACAAGAGGCTGGGGCTCAGGCTATGAGCCCAGTACTCGATTGAGATGGCTGTAGCTGTCGGGTGGAACGGGAGTGAGGGCGGATCCGTCGGGGTGACATGAGCGGGTGGTCTCCCCGTATGGGCAGGCTGCCACCATTCGGCGCTGGCCGGCCGGGCTGGACGGCGGCCGCATCCGCCGTCTGTCGCCCTGCTGACGCACTGCCCGTGGTCCGCCCGCAGGTGCCGCGCACAGAGGCCGTCTCCATACTGGGCAGCCTGGTGTGCTACCCCAACCGCTGGCCGCAGCTGCAGGCGCTGCAGCCGCGCACGCTCGAAATGAACGTCGTGCCCTGCTCCGACCTTAAGGTCAGGGTGCGGCTTTGCTCCGATGTTAAGTGCGCGGGCTGACCTCGGCCTTCACATGGTTAGCGCCCGTGCGCCTCTGTAGGTGTGGTGTTGTACGGTGGCCCGGCATGTCCAGCCGATGCCTCGTCTCCGTCGCTGGTGCTCTGCTGCGGTCCCGTCCCAGCCGCGCTCTCCGCGCTGCCCCGCCCCTCGGCGGTGTCGGCTGTCCGCACACCCGCCTGACCTCGGCCTTCACATGGTTAGCCCCGGTGTGTCTCTGTAGGTGTGGTATTGTACGGTGGCCCGGCATGTCCAGCCGATGCCTCGTCTCCGGCGCTGGTGCTCTGCTGCGGTCCCGTCCCAGCCGCGCTCTCCGCGCTGCCCCGCCCCCCGGCGGTGTCGGCTGTCCTCACACCCGTCTGACCTCGGCCCGGCCGCCGCCGCCCGCAGGACAGTGTGGTGGCGGCGCTGCTACGGTGCGGCAAGCGCGAGCCGTCTGTGACAGCCCGCTGCACGGCGCTCGTCTCGCTCGCCGTCTACCTGTACGAGGAGCTGATGCACGCCACCGGTCACGACAAGGTCAAGGATGCCATCCACATCCTGCTCAGCGCACTGAAGGTCGGTCGGCCCGGCGGCGGACGGCGAGGAGGTGGCGCTGGTGCGCTGGTGGGCGGGATGTGGGGCTGGCCACGCGCCCGACGGCGGACGGCGAGGAGGTGGCGCTGGTGCGCTGGTGGGCGGGCCGTGGGGCTGACCACGCACGTGGCGGCGGGCGGCGGGGAGGTGGCGCTGGTGTGCTGGTGGGCGGGATGTGGGGCTGGCCACGCGCCCGACGGCGGACGGCGAGGAGGTGGCGCTGGTGCGCTGGTGGGCGGGATGTGGGGCTGGCCACGCGCCCGACGGCGGAGGGCGAGGAGGTGGCGCTGGTGTGCTGGTGGGCGGGCCGTGGGGCTGACCACGCACGTGGCGCTGAACTGGCGGGGCTGTCGCAGAGTTAGCCGGACAACCTGTCCAGAAACTGTTGAGGCCGGTGCTGCGCCTGACGGCGGCATGATTACAGCATGACTTTGGCGCAGGCGTCACAAAGGAAGCCATGACGAGTGATTAGAAGTATAAATTCGAATGGACGGAAACTTTGGTTACGACTCTTATCCCAATGCCTATCACGCCCAAACTTTCTGAAATAAATGGGTACCGTGTGGCAGGCATGGAAATAACCAGCTGGCGCACCGTACCAAATGTGCCGTTGACCGTGCTTCACCATGATCAGACTTTATAAATGCAAGAATGGCGGACATGATGCAATGTCGGCATGACGCCCCACCATCGCCGGTGCCAGAGTGTTACAGTCTACAGTTGGCGCAGCGCGCGCCGCCCCACCATCCCCGCTGACAGGGTGTTGCACCTGACTGTGCCAGTGGCCTGGTGCTTCAGTCGGCGCAGCGCGCGCGGCTCGGCGTCCGCAGGGCTCTCGCCTCACGGCCGCGCTCCGCCGTTACAGTGCAACAGCCGGGCGGTGGGCCAGGTGGCGGCCGACATGTTGGTGCTGCTGACGGACCACGCCTCGCTGCTGCTCCGGCTGGCCCCGGACGTACCCCGCCGCGTTGTGGAGGTGAGGACGCCGGCGTCCGGTGCCGGGGTACTGCAGCGGGAGAGTGGCCTGGTCCATGCCGAGACGGACGGACGCGGCTCGAGAGGCGCACGGCGGCGGAGGAGTCCACAGCTGTGCGGTGGTGTCACTTGGTGAACAATTGACGCGTTGTGCGGTGCAGGAAATTGGAGCGGAATTTGTGACAGCCGAGGAGGTGCTGAGGCCGCATGCGCCCTGCGCGTCGCGTGCTGCAGGGTCTTTCTGAATGCGTGACACGGTGTTCTTCACGCTTCGCGCGTAGGTTAATGGGGGCGCCACGTGTGCGTATCGGCTTCGCCCAAGCACCTGGGCACAATGCTCTGTCCTGGTCCGACCTCCTGCCCTGCCCTGCCGTGCTGTGCCGTGCCGTGCCGTGCCGTGCCCTGCCCTGTCACACCCTGCCGTGACCGTGTCGGGCAGGTGAGTGCCGCCACGCTGGAGTCGCTGGTGCAGGCGAGCGCCGAGCCGTCGCCGGAGGAGCGCTGGCTGCTGGTCTCGCTGATCTTCTGCCTCGGCGAGTGGTGCATGAAGCTGCCGATTGACGTGCTCACCGAGCCCGACCAGCAGGGCAAGTCGCTGCTGCTGCGCGTCTTCAAGGTAGGCCGGCGCCCCGGAGCGCCGCCCGTCCGCTCCTGTCGTGACGCCATGTCCTCTCGCGTCGCGGCCGGCATGCCAGCCTTGCCCTTGCACGCCTGTCTAACCTAGTTTGGTGAAGCCTTGTGACTACTTAGTCGGTGAATGCTAACAGCAGCTGGTGTGGTGTGCGGCTGAGCCACTGTGAATGTGCTTGCACGGCGCCCTCCGCTCGGAGGGGCTGGTCACATGCATCGTCTGTATGCCGGATGCGCCATTCTTGGCGTGCCGCCTCTTTTGAGCCGCCCTTTCTGTCTTTATGATGCAGTCTTGTACATAGAGAGCGCTCCGTTGCCGCCGACTGCTTACGTGGCTAATGCGTGGTGCCGTCTGTGTTCGTGTGGTGCTTGTGTGTATGTGTGGCTTGGCACGCTTGGCTGCGTTCCGATCGGCTGTCGCTGGCATTTTCCCCAGATGGGCTGGTGCCTCATGGCCTTGCCCTGACGTGACGTACCGAATACAGTTTTGATTAGGGCAAAGGTAATGGGCGCGCTTTGACTGTGCAGTCAAAGCGCCCTACAGCCCCAATTTCTACTACGAGATGCACCCACTGCAGTTAAAGAGAATGTTTTACATCTGAAGATACTGAAGCAAGCATCAGATATGATGAAACAAGCTCACTTATGTATATTGGTATATTTTCTAAGTGGAAAAGACTGCTCTAGACAGCATAATTATCCATTTAGTAAACATACTTCTCAATGCGCCAGTGGTTTAATTACGTTATCGTACCTTGCACAACATTGATTGAGAGCAAATTGGCGGCCGATATGTGTAGAAATCGCGATGACGAAAGCCAGATATGAGCGCCTCGACAATCATATTTTATTGGCCTTGATGGCCGCGTGGCCTATGGAATGGCAGAATTCGAATACCGTTATGACATTACGAATGCCAAGGTGACTTTGAATACTTTCCCTGATATACCTTTCCCCATTTCCGCAGGCGTATAGCTCAGAAACTAGGCGGGCTTAGGTATTAAGAAGGGCAGAATTATGAACAACGCTGAAAGGTGTTCAAAGGCGGTTATTTCAGTTCAAGGCCCCATATAAATGTGGAGCGCTCCCTTCAATCAGCTGTGGCACACTGCGGTGTCATGGTTACCATTGAACTGTAGATATTCCAGGTGTCTCGTTTCCTAGGGTCAAACTCACCGGACTTTGATTCGCGAGGAGATGGTGTATGGCCGGCAGGTCTACGCCATTTGGATGCCCTGGTTTGGTAACATTGATTTCAAATTTGCAACGGCAGCTGAACCCACCTGCCATGACCCACGCTGCGTTTTCGGGCGAGATATGCCGGCCTTGGCTGGTCGGTGAAGCAGGCAGGCTGACGGACATTATCCGCGTCAAACGGAGGCACGGCGCCACCCGGCCATGCTAGCGTAACCCTCCGTCGTCGGCGAGTCGTAGCAGCCGGCGGGCGTGGTACTCGTGAGACTGAAGCAGGCGGTAGTCCTCACCCTCCCCGTCTTCCGTGTCGGGACAGTGTTCTGTCACTAGCTGGGCTCCGTTGCCGGACTGGTGCCTCTGTTTCGGTGGTGACTGGGCAGTCTCGTCCTCCATATCTGGCTCACACTCTGCGGCTGCGACCGCCGCTGTGTTGACCAGCCGTTAGTCCTTTCCGTCCGTGAGGTGACTGACCAGCGTGGTGCCGTGCGTTTCCGGTGACTGACCAGCGTGGTGCCGTGCGTCTCCGGTGACTGACCAGCGTGATGTTGTGCGTCTCCGGTGACTGACCAGCATGGTGCCGTGCATCTCCGGTGACTGACCAGCGTGATGTTGTGCGTCTCCGGTGACTGACCAGCGTGGTGCCGTGCGTTTCCGGTGACTGACCAGCGTGATGTTGTGCGTCTCCGGTGGCTGACTAACGTGGTCCCGTGCTTCTCCGGTGACTGATCAGCGTGGTCCCGTGCGTCTCCGGTGACAGGTCAGCGTGGTCCCGTGCGTCTCCGGTGACTGACCAGCGTGGTCCCGTGCGTCTCCAGTGACTGGTCAGCGTGGTCCCGTGCCTCTTCTGTGGCTGACTAACGTGGTCCCGTGCGTCTTCGGTGACTGACCAGCGTGGTCCCGTGCGTCTCGGGTGACTGGCCAGCGTGGTCCCGTGCGTCTTCGGTGGCTGACCAGCGTGATGCCGTGCGTCTCTGGTGACTGACCAGCGTGGTCCCGTGCGTCTCGGGTGACTGGCCAGCGTGGTCTCGCTCGTCTTCGGTGGCTGACCAGCGTGGTCCCGTGCGTCTTCGGTGACTGGCCATGCCCTGCGTATCACCCAGTCTGTGTCTGCATGTGTGCCGGTGTGTGCCTGTGTGTGTGTGTGTGTGTGTGTGTGTGGTGATGATGGCTGCCGGCGGGCGGTCTGACCCGCGCCTCCCATCCCCGTCCGTGCGCTGACTGACCCGACTGACCCTGTATGCTGCAGGCCCTATCCGGAGGGGAGGTGCCGGCGTCTTCTCTTCACCCCCAGCCCAATATTACGCTTACAGTCACTGACCCGTACCAGCAGGTTGGCATGCTCCCACGGAGGCCGCGTGGGCAGGCCCTTTGGCCTTCCAAGCACACAGACTCCGTTAATGCGAACTGGCTCTACCCCCTGTACATACGGCGTTGGCGGTGTCTTGAACTCTGCACTGCGTTCGTTTTGCTGGGTTAATCTCTCCAGGAACTTGGCCCTTGGTATTGGCCCTTTGGCATGGTCTTGCATGGTAGTCAGCGTCTGTTTTGGTTTGCATTCAACCCTTGGATAATCGATTGGTTTTGGCGGATTGGTGTTAACATGGATTTGTGGACAGTGTTGTTATAACTGACCATCGGCTGTTTTGGTGACGGGATTGGTGATGGGCTGACCACAAACGGCGTTGGCACTGGTGATAAGGATTTCGCATATCGCTGTCAGCTGACTTTGCCATACTTTGGCAGCTGTATGTTTTTTTTCCCGTGAAGTGCCACGTGCCATTAACTAGGCTACCCTGTACCTTAATGTTGGTTAGTACGGGTTTTGACACCCTTGTGAAAACTTTCGATACGCGCGGCCATAATCTACGCATCTCTGGCCTGTCCGTCATGTTGGCTGGTTTCGTTTAATGCTGATCATTGTTTCCTGTCTGGTCCCGTTTTATATTTGACGGACTACTGGCTGGCCTGGCATTTAGAATTTGAGCCTTACAATAGAAAATGAGCTCGTAACAATTTTTGGTGCGCGTGAAGGCCAGACCCAGTAGCAGCGACGCTGACGGTCCTCCACCCGCCCGTCGGCGCCCCTTCACGCCCGCGTGTCCGCGCCGGTCTCGCCCGTCTCCCCCCCCCCCCCCCCCCCCTACCTGTCGTGCCACCGCTGACGGCCGGCCGGACGCGCAGGTGCTGCACGTGGTGGTGGGCGACCCGTCGCCGTCGTCCGGCTCGCAGTCGGCCGACTCGCGGCTCTCGTCCGACGCCCGGGACAGCGGCCCGCAGGGCGGCGGCACCGTCGGGCTGGCGGCGCGCGCGGTCAGTGCCTGCGGACACGCCGCCGAGCGGCCCACACCCGCCCAGCGGCCGGCCACTGATGACGTCATGTGGCGACAGCTCGTCACTGGCGGGCAAGGGCTCGAGCCGATCTAAGCGGCTGGAATGATGCGCTGTAACAAGGTTCAACTGGACACGCGTGGCGGGTGTGCGCTTATTTTTTTCGCTCCGATTCATTGTTCCAGCGTTGTCTGTGGTCGCCCTCCCTTGCTGCGGCTGTCCCGTGCTGCCCGCCGCCGTCCACGAGGCGCCCGGTAAGCCGTGCCACGCTCCGCTCGCCGGCGAGCCTGCTCTGACCCGTCACCGACCGGCCGCAGGTGATCTCGCACCTGGTGAACCACCTGGACCACTTCCCGATGCTCTGCGGCGCCGTGCGGCTAGGCTCGCTCGTCTCCGAGCATGATGACCTGCCGCTGCTGGCGGCGCGCGACGAGCTCAGCTCGGACATCTTCTACGCGCCCAACGTGCAGGTGGGGAGGCGGCACGCGCCTGCCCAGAGCGGTCAGCTGGGCGTGGGCGCCATGGAGGCCGGCGCCGACTCCGGCGGCTGTGAGAGGATTGCGGGCCGGGCGTTGACGAGCGTGCCGCTAGTGGTGATTGGAATCGTCGTAGGGAGCTGCGCCGGCCGGTGCGGTGGCCGTGGCCGTGGTAGCACGCTGGCCGACCTGTCAGTGGCTCCTGCGCGTCGCTTTCGTCGGCCTTCGGCTCGCTCGCTCGCGGACCCGTGGGGATGCGCGGTGGGCTTTGCGTGGATGCTGCAGCCGCCTGCCGGCTGTCTGATGGAGCTGATTCGTTTTAGCGGTATGGCGTGAAAGACGCTCTCCAGCTCTGCGCTACACTTCCGATCCATGCACCCGAACCGCTGCTGTCGCATCCTCCGACCAACGCACAATGTCTGCCCGGCAGTTTTTCGTTCTGAACAACCGTTCGCTGCTGTCGCTGGTGGAGCTGCCATCTCTGGAGGTGCCGGGCGGCGGGGTCACGGCCGGCCTGCGCACCGCCCACTCCCAGGTCAGCGACGGCACGGCCCCCGTCGTCAACTGCTGCGGAGACCCCCTTCCCTCCCGCTGGGGGCGCGGAGGCTGCGACCGCCCCCCCCCCCCTCCGTAGCGCGTTACAAACCGCCACGGGGTCACTTGTAAGCCGCAGACGGATGTCGACTCCCACGTTCGTGCTGCGACGAGAAGTATGATATTTACCGCTGTTGCCGTGAGGTGGGCTCATCGGACGCCGTGGTAGGTGGTGACCGTCGTCGGCGTGGTGTCCGCCTCCCCAGGTGCGCGTAATCCTGCGGGACCTGGGCGGCAAGTTCTGCTGGGACGCTTCCGTTCTGTACGGCACCATCAGCCAGCTGCACTCATTCAGCGCAGGTGAGAGGACCGGGCGAGCTCCGCGACGAACAGTTTGGAGAGGCGTACTCTCCCCCGACATTTCGGAGAGAGTGAACTGACATCAGGAACTGTCCAAATATATGTGACAGGCCTGTGATGATTCTAGCAGGCCATGGCTGTCGGGAAATCAGGGACTGTCAGGCTGTGATCTTCCGCGGCACTCGCGCGTGCCGTGGAAGTCGTCCATCAACGGCCCAACTGGCGCTTCACCGTCCGGCTTTTGCTATATCAGCTTGGGCAGCTTTGCCTAAGAAACGCAGTGGCTTCAAAAAGAGGCAACCACTGATGTCACCAAGGCGCCCACAAGCAGGGTAAGACACATGAGCGACGCGCATAATCCGCGGCCACTCTCACCCGTCCTGCGGCCGTGCCGTCCCTGCCGCTGTCGCTGGCTGCGGACCGCTGGCCGCCGACTGGTGCCGGCTGACGGGGCCGGCGACTGGCGCCCGCCTGACCGCCGCCTGTCCGGCAGAGTTGGCACCGCTGCCGGCCGGCTGGTGTCGGCGGACGGGGCCGGTGTCTGGCGCCCTTCTGACCGCCACCTGTCCGGCAGAGTCGGCGCCGCTGCCTGCTGCCCGGCGCGCGCCGCCGCCCATGGCGCACAGCAAGTCGGAGGAGTCGCTGCTGGGCGGCGGCCTGCCGGCGCCGCCGCGCTCCGCCGTGCGGCACCGGGGCCGCGGCGCGCTGCCCTCCTGGCACGACACAGAGGGCGACATGGACAACCTGGACGACGTGAGTCAGGTCGCGCGCCGGCTGCGAACTTTCACTACCCGCTCGGCATGTTTTTGTCGGTCATCACGGCGGCGGCCGGGTTTACCAGGTTCGAGGCTTGCAGAAAGCGATGGTGGTATAGTGGTGAGCATAGCTGCCTTCCAAGCAGTTGACCCGGGTTCGATTCCCGGCCATCGCAAGTTGCGTTTTCATGTTGTCGTGATTTTTAAAGTGATAATTTGGTTTTTATGACACATCGTTTCATATCCAGCCATGCCTGGCATGCCCTGTCCTACCCTACCCTACCCTACCCTACCCTACCCTACCCTACCCTTTCCTACCGTATGCAAAGGGCATATGCATATTTCATGTGCACATATTATTTCTTAATACGAAAAGGCTTGTGATCAGAAGCTTGGTGTGTTGTTATGACATTATCTATGTGTAGTTCTGGGTGTAAAAGTAAAGACGTAAAAGTGCCTTGCTCATCTCATACTCGCCGTGCTTAAGCGTAGCTTAAAAAGGTAAAGATGAACCGGAAACGGGAGTTTCTTTCCGAAAGTATTGCAACTTGAGTCAGCAACAGCGTGCTTTTTTCGCACCACACAAACAGGTTATTCGTCACTCTCATTCCATTTAGCTGCTTTCATTCCTCCTATTTCCACATGCAATGTGTCGCTAGTAAACTGCTTGCTCTCATTTGATTGCTTGCGTTTCGAGTTGATAGGCGTAAGCTACTGACAAATGCCGCGGGGAACGTGGTGATTTTTACAATACGGAATATGGAGGATAAGCTCATCACTTTTTCGGATGAGGGCTGTCATTTCAGCGCTCCTAAATTGTCACATGCAAGCGTGCCGTCCTTCAACAACGACGCGTTTTGGTGAAACGTGTTAAAATGTGCTGGGTGGGCAGCTCCAACGTGCTATGTCGTGCATGAGGTTAATGTTTTGCTTTTACTCTTACCTCACGTATGGGCCGAAATAAGAAGCCGCTTTAATTCATTAGACGCTTGACAGTTGCAGAACACACATTTGTCTGTAGGCCATCCACAAAGCGCGCCTTTCGGGATGGGCCGATGAGCGGCGCCACGGCTACGTGACGGTAGATGCCGCTGCGGTCACCGACGTGACAGTGGGTGCCGCTGCGGTCACCGACGTGACAGTAGGCGCCGCTGCGGTCACCGACGTGACAGTAGGTGCCGCTGCGGTCACCGACGTGACAGTAGGCGCCGCTGCGGTCACCGACGTGACAGTAGGCGCCGCTGCGGTCACCGACGTGACAGTAGGCGCCGCTGCGGTCACCGACGTGACAGTAGGTGCCGCTGCGGTCACCGACGTGACAGTAGGCGCCGCTGCGGTCACCGACGTGACAGTAGGTGCCGCTGCGGTCACCGACGTGACAGTAGGCGCCGCTGCGGTCACAGGCGTGACAGTAGGCGCCGCTGCGGTCACCGACGCCGGCTCACGGGCCGCGGGCGTGCGGACGGGACGACAGTAGCTCGCAGCCTGCGGCTGATGGCGGGCGGGTTTTGAGTGTAGCAGTGTTGAACTCGCTGCGTAAGTTGCACTCGAGTGAAGCTACTGCGGCCTACAGTTGGTGTCAGTGTCAGGGCGATTTAGTGACCTTACAGTTGGTGTCATTGTCAGGACGATTCAATGACCTAGATGTCCCTCACGGATCTTAAGCGCGGCTCAGAGGCGGCGGATCCATCGCGGGCGGGCGAACGACCTACCGCACGAAAACGCGGACGTTGCACAAATATGATTGCGTAGTTTGTCCTCGGTGAAATCGTGCTCAGTTTACGAAGGTTTTCGAAAACAAACATACGTGTGCACAGACGAACACTACGATTTTATTTTAGAAGTGGAACGACCTGTTGCGCCTTGTTTGGTTATGAACCTGGTTGGTACGTCGGAGAGGTGAGCACCCACGGTGGCACAGTGCCAGCTGAGCTCCCCCCCCCCCCCCCCCCCCCGCCTGTCCGTCGTACCCTGTCCTGCGCTGCAGTATGCTTTGGCCGGTCATGTCGGTCTGGTGGTCGACGCGTGTTGGTGACCGGATCTGACCTGACGTGACCGTCGTCCAGCTGCTGCTGTACCTGGACGACACGTCGCCAGAGTGCGCCTCCGCCGCGGACGCGGCGTCGGTGCTGCCGTCGGTGCTGGGCCAGGAGCGGCACGTGGAGGCCATCAACGCCCTGCTGAGCCAGCGGAGCGCCGAGCTTGAGACGGCCCGCACCGTCGACAACAGGTACAGCGCCCCCGCCCCCGCCACCACCACCACCACCACCACCACCACCAGGCGGCAGGCCGGTCGGTCCTCACGCGACGAAATACCAGCGCTTTGCCGACAGGATGCGGGATGTTGCCATGCCCTTCACACACGCAGGTATCTCACTGACGGGGGGGGGGGGGGGGGAGCAGTTGTCTTTCGCGCTGTCGTAACTGCCAGAAGGATTTTGCAGCCGACCGTAATGTGCTCCCCCCCCCCCCTTTAACGAATACGACAGTTACAATACGTCTCACCCGGGCAGTTCTCAGCTATCCGACGCCGCCATGTTTGTGAAGGTCCCGCGTGCGCGCGTGACCGCCTTTGACACGCGGTCTGGCACCGGCCCTCAGCCTGCCGGCACCGGCCTGCCGGGCGCCGGCGGCGCAGCAGGCCGGCGCGCCCTTCCAGCACGGCCGGCTGCTGTTTAGCCAGCTGGGGCTGAGCGGCTGGGCGCGTCGGCCGCACATCCACTTGCTGCGCAAGTCGGAGCGGCTGCTGCGCGAGCTGCGCAACCTCGACAACCAGGTGAGCGGCGCGGAGGGGCGGAGCGCAGACGGTGTAGGGATGGCGCACGGCATAGGAGGAGCAGATACCAGGGAACAGTGGGCACAACAGCGCGGGTCAGAGTGGAGAGGGTGGAAGCGGGGAGACAGGGCTTGGCTAAGGTATACAGGCACGGGGAACGGAGCCGGGGCGTGATAACTGCCCATGCCAAGCGCAGTGGATTCACAGTCCGCTGCGGCCAGTAGTCTGGTCTGGCAAGTCTGGCGCGGTTGGCCTCCGCACGCCTGCTCCAGGGCCAACTCAGAGACACCCGCCGGCCCGACTCTGGGCGGGGGGCGGCATTTGGCTGGCGTTGGGTGAGAGGCGCGCTCGCTCCGGGCGACCGTGATCATTGGGGGCTTGTCGCTGTCGGGCGGCCGCGGCGGCTCGGCTGCCCGCCGTGCTGACCAACGACCCGCGCTCCCAGAAATGCCGCGAGACGCACAAGATCGCCGTCATCTACGTGGCGCTGGGCCAGGAGGACAAGCGCTCGATCCTGGCCAACTCCGCCGGCAGCCAGCAGTTCGAGGAGTTCGTGGCTGGGCTCGCCTGGGAGGTCAGTGCTGACACGCCCTCCCAGCTTCTCTCCCCTTGTACAGCTGTGTTGTATGCTCGTTGGTCTCCTCTAGTGGTTCATGCTCTTCTGCGTACGTATCTGAAATTTTCGTCCGTCTGCATGTGCTTCTGACTTTCCGCAAATCGTCCTTTTCAGCCTGTGGCAGCTCTCCACAGCGCCACATTGCGACGGTTGTTGGCAGTTGCTCGCTGCTCGTCCCTCGTCGTTTGTCCCTCGTCGCTCGTCGCTCGCTCCGTGCCCTGTGCCAGCCGTTTGTGTCGCCCCGTCCCCGGAGCTGCTCTGCTGACCCGTACCCGCCGGCAGGTGGAGCTGGAGACGCACACGGGCTTCATGGGAGGATTGCAGCGCAACGGCACCAGCGGCGATACGGCGCCCTACTACGCCACCTCCTTCACCGAGTGCCTCTTCCACGTGTCCACGCGCATGCCGTCCCACACGGAGGAGGCGCTTCTCCAGAAGGTAGGTCGGGCCCTCGAGAAGGAAGGTAGGCAGGTCGGTAGGGACGCTCGACTCGCGGGCAGCTCAGCTGTGAAGATCGATCTCAGCGCCCTGTTCCCCTGCAGCGCATTGCAAGTGTGTCAGTGATCGGCGCTGAAGAAGAGGGAGTTGTTAATGCCTTGCGCCTGCAGCTGTTAGACCACAGTCTCCAGAGTCCAATAGGTTGTAAAGGCTGTGTGCTTCGGCGCCCCGCCGGTGGTCGGCGGATCTGTGTGGCCGTGCGCCGGGCGCCGACGGAGCCGGCGCCGCTACTGACGCCGCCTCGCCGCCCGGCCGCCAGACCCGGCACCTCGGCAACGACGAGGTGCACGTGGTGTGGTCGGAGCACGGCCGCGACTACCGGCGCGGCATCATCCCCACCGAGTTCTGCGACGTACTGCTCGTCATCTACCCGCTCGAGAGCGGCCTCTTCCGCATCCAGCTCTCCCGAAAGCCGGAGGTGAGCGTGACGGCTGCGTCATACTAGGGCTGACTGGGGCGCCCCCGCGGGCGCGGCACTGTTCACGCGATCGTTTTGTGTCACTGCTTCCCTCTGCGTTAATTCGCGTGTTCCTCCAGATGACCTCAAATGGTTTGATTCATGAGTTGAGGATGGAGGAGGATCCTTTGTCGTGCAGTCGCGTGCCCCGAAAAAATATGACTTCTTCCGCTCATGTAACACACAAAATATGACGTCTCGCTCATGTGCTCATGTGACACACAGTCCGTTCAGGACCTCAATTATTGTAAGTAAGATGTCCTGCACGAAGCTCCGTGCCCTTCCAGCCGGAATTAATTAACTTAGATGACCTACACAAGCGGTTCGTACAGGGCACGGGCTTGGGGCGTGACACCAGCACCGGCGTCAGGATGCCTCCCAGTTGGCCGCCCCGTGCCTGACCTGACCTGACCTGACCTGACCTGACCTGGCTGCCGCCGCCCGCTCGTCACAGGTGCCGTTCTTCGGGCCGCTCTTCAACGGCGCCATCGTGGGCCGCAAGATCCTGCCCGGTCTGGTGCGCGCCACCGCTCTCAACGCGTCCAGGGCCAAGCGCAGCATGTTGCCGCACTACCTGAACTTGTGAGTGCTGGTGCGGTCGTCGGAGCCGTGCTGCTGGTCGGCCGGCGTCGGAATGTGGGTGCCCGTGATAGAATGCTCCTGCTTTTACGTTGGCAACGTTGAGGCACAGTTTGGCGGTCGCTGCCGTGCACATGAAGGTGAACTATCCTCTGTGCTGTACTGTTTTGAAGACAACACTACCGCAGCAGCGCCGTGTAGTGCAGCGCGAGGATTTTGTCGCGCTTGCTGGCGGCGACCGGAGTGTGACGCTGCTCGGCGCGCCCCGCAGTTTCGAGGAGCGCTCGCAGGCGCTGGAGACGCTGGTGGCCAACCACCGCGAGCTCTCGACGTTCGAGGAGCTGGTGGGCAGCGTCTACAGTCCGGCGCCGCCTCTGCCCGACATGGTGCCGCGGCCGGCGCACGGTGGGTCCCTGGCGCTGACGGCGCTGCTGTGCGGGGCACCGGGTCAGGCCAGGTCAGACTGGATCAGACCAGGTCAGCCGGTACCGACCGGTTTTCAGCGGTCAGGGACGCCGCTCACCCACCCGGATATGAATGCAGCGCCATCAGCAGGATCACTGCAACTTCGATCGCGAGATCCGTCGATACCCGCACACGCCGCATTTCCCCGTTCGTTTTCGGCGGACTTCCCAGGCTTGTCCGAGCGGAGTACAGAGCGGGCGGGCTACTTCCCAGGCTTGTCCGAGCGGAGTACAGAGCGGGCGGGCTGTGTCGGCGCCGGACCACTGGGCCGGCAGCTGACCAGCCCCTCCACCCGCCGCTGGGGTGGTTTTGCCGCCGCCTGACGCCCACTCCGCCCCGCCAGGTGCCGAGCCGGCGCCGCTCGCGTCGGCCCTGGTGGACCCGGCCCACGCCGTCCAGCCGGGCAGGACGGGTCGGGCCAGCGAGCCACGGTCCAGAGGTCAGACGCCAACTGTTTGCTTGTGCCTTCGCTGATGTCTCCCTCGCTCTTTATTTGTCTGCGTCGTCCGTCTCCTCGTTTACGCCTCGTAATGTTCGCCTGAAAGTATACCGCCAACGTCATCGCGTTAAGCAACTGTAATGCTATTTTCTCTCGCAGTCACCTCCCCCGATGTGTCTGTACTAGTCTGTCTTCTCCGTATCCATCGTCCCGTTCAGACCAGGCTTCGCGTTGCTGTCGCGGTAACGTGACCACCTGCTCCTCTACCTCCCCTGGCTGACCTGTCGCGCTCTCGCGCAGCCGATACGGACGGCGCTCTGGTGGACGTGGACCTCAGCAAGCCGGGACCGTCGCCCAAGACGCTGAAGCGGCTCTCGTTCAAGACCACCGTGCGCAAGGCGTCGACGTCGATCCAGGAGACGATCCAGGGCCTGCCGACGGCGGCGCGCTCGCACCTGGGTGGCTTCCAGCCGCCGGCCACCACGCCGCCCGACAGCCCCTCCCCGCGGCTGCGCAAGTAGACGAAGTCCGGGCGGCCCAGGGAGCAGGGACACGCTCGGAGCCTGAGGCCGGCCGGCGCCGGGCCGTCCGGCTCAGGGCCACACTGGCCCCGAGACAGACGGGTCTGGGGTGCGCGCGCCTCGGAGGGCGGGCGGCCAAGCCTCGTGAGCTGCGGAGGAAGGGGTACCGGCGCGGCCCCCACCAGCCGCCAGCGGCCCCCGCCAGCTGCAACGGCCTCATCCGATGGGAAGCGCCGAGTGTCTGTGTGCCGCCCGGCTGGAGCGGGCGTCCGACGCGGTCGTGCAGCAGCATCTGCGCGTCGCATCTGCGCATGCGCGGCCTTGCAGCAGCATCTTGTTACGCAAGCCTGAATACTTTTTACGTAGGTAGATGCCATGCCAAAGGTCTAGGATAAGGCTGCTGTTAAATAATCGCCGATTAGCCTCCTGTGATAGTCGCTTGCTCCTGACGAGCCGCTGCCGCACGCTCGCAGTGTGTCGTGCGCGTCTGTATTATTGGCAGGGCCGCGTGGCCGGTGGTGCCGCGTTCTGCGAGATTGGGGGTGGCGGTGGGTGCACCCTGTGGGTGGCGGGACACCGGGGGTAGACTGCCGAGCTGTCTGGGATGGGTGAGCGGTGAGACGTCGGCAGGAGGTCGGGTTTTGTAAGACGTGGCAGCGGTGAGTTTTGTACGCTGTCGGAGATGGCTAGTTTTGTACGGTGTGCGTGGCGTGGCGAGTGACGCGATGTCGAGGATGGTCGGCGGTTCACTGTCCTCGGACGTCCGCTTGCTGCGTCTGGCGGGAGTGTGAGTGACGATATATCCAGATGACAGGAGGTGGGGCGTCTGGCCGCGGCGCAGACGCCTGCGTCTGCGGACCGGTGGCTGCTCCTGCTCTCTATGCGAGTTTGGAAGGACCGTCGGTTGACGGCTCGCTTGCGATTCCCGTTTGGTGCTTTGTACTTTGTTGCGAGTGGTGACTCATGATTCCTGAGATTGCCCAGTGCCTCAAAGGTTCCCATTCGCCTCCACTTTTTGTTGAACTAGAAAGCAGGTGTGGCGTTGTTGATAGGTACCTTACGTTACTTTTATTGCTAGTTGAACGCGGTAGCGCGTTGTGCCTGTGCTTGCTGGATGATGTTGGTCCCTTGCACATCGTGCTAGTAATTTACGGGAGGGATGCGAAGGATCGCAAGCCTTTTTACTGATTCTGTTCCCTCTGCAGGTTTAGTTAGCCTGAGGTGTTTGTTTTCTGTAAAGCATGTGTTACGCAAATGTGGACGCGTGCAGCAGTATTGGTTATGTGCAGGCTCCCGTGCACGGCCTGCCTCGGGCAACACTTGGAAAGCAGTCACCGGTTTTCGGAACATCTGATTTGTAGGACGCTAAACTCAATACGATGTACTCCAAGATGTACGATATCGTGCCGTCTCCGTTTTGTTGGTCACGAAAGGGATCCTTTTGCGGGAGAATGCGTCCCCTATGACGGCGTATATCGAAACAGGAGCAAATTATGTATGTGGGATGGCGCGGATCGAACGGCTGATTGTCGATGTGGTTTCCTTCGTTGTTCACATATTTTTGATCGCTGCCACCAAAGAAGCCACACTCATACTACACCGCGCTAGTTTTCTACGTGTTGCTTTCTGCTGGGCAAATATTTATTGCTAAATGTCATCGGTGTTGATGGATTGTCCTCATCGTACAAAACCTTCTAATATTAATACACAACTAAAGCACGTCTTTTCTGTGGACTAGGGTGCGTCAGGATGGCCGGCGTTATCTATATGTGACGCGCCGCAGCTGCAGAGGTGTGGCTGGGTCCTAAACCCTGACTGAAGACATTTGTGACCTGATGTTGCACTCGCCTGGGCGCTATTGCACTTGCTGACGGCGTGGACGGTGGGGCATTGCCGTGCACACGTATGATGGCAAGGCTCTTGAAAAGCATTTCTTACTTGGTCAAACAGCGCTCCTTTCCAAAGTTTCTCGTTCTACAACAGCAGGGTGGCGTAGAACTTCAAGAATGTTATCGCAAAGCAACGCTGCAAGACCTGGACTTGTTACAGTCGTTTTTGCCGTGTGTTTCCCTCGGTGCCTTCTTTGGATAAACGTCAGGGTCACGTGCTGCAGCATCAGCTCGACATTGACCGGGCTCAGGTCAAACGTCCTGGGATGCGTCTGCTTCAAAAAGTATTGCAACCATCTAAGAATCTGCTGTCGAGGGCATCTACTATAGGGTTGGGTAAGCGACGGTATGTATTTGAGCTGCCGTGCTGGAGTAGAAAGTCAAGCCCGTTTTGCAAGGCGTTGTAACATTTTATATATCCTTGAAAGATTGAAGCCGCAAAAAGCCCTAATTTCATCTTTCCTAGATCAAGCAGGACATATTTGCCCTTTGTCCTCGGTTGTAACGTTATGCACTGAAACTTTACAACAGGAGTACCACTGGTGCCCATCAGCCATGCATCTGGATCAGAGAGACCGAGTCCGAGTCCGGGTCGTCCTGTATGGAGTCTGAGTTTGACTCCATATCTCACCATAATATCAAATCATACGTATCAGCCTCGACATTTTCACGGCTCGTGAGTGCGACTCAGTGTTCGGGGTCTTGGCAGAAGAGTCCGAGCCGTTATGACTCAGTCCGCGTCCGCGTCAGGGTCCCAGATTCTTGAGTCTGAGCCCATCACCTTCTTACGAGACCGAACAAGACCTAGAAGCTGATGACAAGTTGGATATCTCTGTCTTGCAAAACAAAATATGTAAGACGTGGCTTCAGCCAAACCCGGCAAAGGCGCGAAGGATAAACTTAGTGGCACTCCGATCTGCGGTGAGTCTGTCATCGAATTCGGGGCAATTGGCTGAAATACGAACACCGCTGCGAAGTTTCAGTGAACGGCACTAAATCTTACGAAACGTAGCACACTGCACGAAGCACGTAGCATTCATTTTAATGAAGACCCAGCCGGGCTCAAGTCAAACCGACCGAAACAAGCCGACACACACAACTCAGCACCTGGAAGTTTAAAGGCTGCAGTAAACGGGAAGGCAATGGACTTGGCTTGGCATTATTGGAAAATGGAAACGCTCTGATCGTTCTCCCGCTTCGGAGAATGCAGGCCCTTGCGCTCTTGGTTTCCTGCTGAAGCATTCGCGAGCTTTGATCTGTAAAGCACTCCCCAGCGATAAATGTCCAAACCTTCCACAGCCTTAGACCTGCCTACCGCACGTTTGTTGGGAAAACACCGTGCCGGTCAGCACTCGACTGCGCTCATTACGCCGACGACACGCCAGCGGACAACCCTCCAAACAACATCATTCCCCGTGAAAAGGCAGTCACCGCGTGCGCCGGAAACAATGACGGCGCCCACGAGCGGGACAGCACTCACCGCGCGCCCACGCTGGATACCATCGACGGGCGTCAGTGCCGGCCGCCCTCCGACGGCCGCCGGCGGAGGCGACGGAACTCCAGACGGAGGTCACCTTGAGGGGTGGACACTGCCCTGAGTCGCCACGGACTCCAGACGGAGGTCACCTTGAGCGGTGGACACAGCCCTGAGTCGCCACGGACTCCAGGCGGAGGTCACCTTGAGGGGTGGACACAGCCCGGCGTCGCCACGAACTCCCGTGTAAAACGCTGCGAGGCACGGTAGCAGGGACACGTGGGCAAGGTTCGCCCGGGCACGCCTGTTGCCAACCGTGATCTTCGCGCACAAACAGACGGCCTTGTCTTAAAGAGACGCACGCATTCATTGCACTGTTCCAGTGCCTTCCTGTCCATATCCGTCCCAGCCGGTCCCCTCCCCACCAGGTGCGCGCGCTGACCTGCTGCTGGCGTGCGGGTCGTCGTCGGTGCTCGCCGCAGTCTGGCCACGGCTCGGGAGGGCCGAGCTCTGGCAGCACCGATCGACCGCCTGGTACAACGGGGCACGGCCAGGAGCGGAGCAGCGGCACCAGCGACAAGGTGAGCAGTGGAACAACGGCACCAGCGGCACGGTGAGCAGCAGGGCAGCGGCACCAGCGTCACGGCGAGCAGTGGAACAGCGGCACCATCGACACGGTGAGCAGTGGAACAGCGGCACCAGGGACACGGTGAACAGTGGAGCAGCGGCGCCAGCGACACGGTGAGCAGTGGAACAGCGGCACCAGCGACACGGTGAGCAGTAGAGCAGCGGCACCAGCGACACGGTGAGCAGTGGAACAGCGGCACCAGCGACACGGTGAGCAGTGGAGCAGCGGCGCCAGCGACACGGTGAGCAGTGGAACAACGGCGCCAGCGACACGGTGAACAGTAGAGCAGCGGCACCAGCGGCACGGTGAGCAGTGGAACAACGGCACCAGGGACACGGTGAGCAGTAGAGCAGCGGCACCAGCGACACGATG